GAAGTAAAAACGTCGGCTTTTTTGCTTCCATCTTTTCTTCCTGGAAAAAGAAGTCCAAAACCAGTCTGAAGGATGAACAGTTACCTAACTGCAATAACTGCGTCAAGGGTATTCCCCGTTCCAGTATAAATACCCTGCATTGGACCCGATTCTACTCATTCTCTGAAGAGTTCTCGATCCTTGTGAAATCAACTGCTGTTCTTCGACGCCGCACACATCACCAAAATGAAGCTCGTGAGTATTTCTATGTATCTAGCAATTAAAGTGTTGAGAAATGTATCCCTCGTTCAGTTTGAAGTAAAGCAATTCCCAGTCACGACCATTTTCCGTTGATTATCAATTCAATGTTAAGCCATATATATATTGAAATGTATTCAAACTGCATCGTACATATATACTCCTGTGCAAGAGGACACCTGGAGAATGCAGCTTCCCGTAGAGAAATTGAGTGGATTTTTGTTGATGAGCAGATGCTGGGACTGTTGGGGTTGGTTTGTCTGATGGCTGTGGCCCTGGGAGCAGGCAAGGAGGAAGAAGACCTCTTCGCTGCTGAGTCTGCCAATCGAGGATTCGGCCATGGAGGATACGGTGGTTATGGGGGATATGGAGGCTATGGAGGCCTGGGGGGCTTTGGAGGTTATGGAGGCTACGGTGGCGGCTATGGAGGCAAGTGATTTTTTTATTTTATTTTGAGATTAGCGTAAAGCAAATTATGATAAAATTGTCTGAAAATTTCAGTTTTTATTAATTGGTAGGATGATGATGAAGAGTAAGTGAAGATGAAAATTTTCGTTATTTTCATCAATTATTGCAATTTATTATTTCAAGTTATTGCAGGAATTCAACAAATACGCTTTTGTGAAGCTGCATTGATTTTTCGCGATTACCAAATCCCATTCCCATAATAACCCCAAGAGAATAACATATAAAATACTCACTGCATGGAAATTCCAAAGACAGAGATAATAAATCGTAGTAAGCTTCTGCTCAAAAATCCTACTTCAAAACAAAAAAATTTAAGCAATTTGTTTTTACACAGATTCTAGACAATTCTCCTTATCATTTATGCATTAAAACGGTAAGTTTCAGCCCCTTATTTGTGGCCTTCATAAACCTGGAAGATAATCTAACCAAGGGGCGAAATGACGTAACTTCTTCGCAGGATTTTTATGTTGTTGCTTTATTGCCATAGAGTTCAATGTTGCCAAGCGCCGAGTGACTTCAAAGATTCATGACTTTCAGGATTTCTATGGTTTTCAAATGATATCGCGGACGCGTATAGGGGGTGTTCGCCTTATTTTCGATTCCTTCGGATTCCCTTGAAGATAATTTGCTTTCCAGTTTTAAGTTGTCAACAAAAAAAATTGGAAAAACTAATTTTTTTTTTCTTTTCTTATTTGGTACTCAGGGTACGGAGGAGGATTCGGAGGGTTCGGACATCATCGTCCACATCATTTTGGCTGAACATCTTGGCTTTTCTTCGTCATTCTCATCTCCCTTGTCATCTCTCGGCAATTCGCATTTCCGTCCCAGAAGTATTTTATTGAACTCATGCACAAAAGAAATTTGGCAAAAATTGGCAAAAATGCGAATCAAATTCAGAATAAATTGCTAGAAACATTTCGTACTTCACCTTTGTTCCCTTTTCGAGAAATGGCAGGTCAAAACTTTCAAGATTCCTAAAAGGAAGGCGAATTCGGTTTCGTTGAATCAACTTCGAAATTATCAATCGTGCTATGAATGTTTAAATTTGAATAAGAAGGAAAGCATCTCTAAGTTGATGACTACGACGCTTCTGAATGGAAAAAAGATTTGTAAAAAGAGCGGTGCAATGGATTTCCCTTTAATTTTGTTACCGGAAAAATAGTCCAAAAAGTTATGAATGTCAATGCAAGTGTCACCTCAACGTGCAAGACCGCTGGATCCATGGAATGAAATCACTCGGTTTCGCGAGGCATCTTAATTCTAGTTGATTCTCGCTCGTCCACTCCAGAGAGTGTGAGAGACGAGGAGACTCCACTCGAATTCCATTCATCGGCATAGTCGCAATGTAGATGTCGATTTTGCACCTGGGGGACACCCGTAGACTTATCCGCTATGGCCAAGCAGCGGATTGGAGACATTTGCATTCCATTGAGGGATTCTCTTTGGGTCGAATATCCGAATGTGTATACTGGGGTTAGCCAGATTTCTCTGTAATATTTGGACCAACCTCCCTGCCACTCAGAATGCAGAGTGTCTCTTCGAGCGACACTTTATTCCCTGATCCAAATTACCTTCGACTACAAAATGTGTGCTTACCCTTTCGTTCTCGTTCTTAAATTTACCGTGACTTCAATATTGAAATTTGCAATAAAAACTCATTTTTTGGTCGCATCTGATCATACAGAGACGTCTTTTGGGAATATTACTTAACATATTCCAAAAGAGTCTGAGAAGTTTCGGAACCGCCAGCCCTGCCAAAGAAAGCAGTAATCGCAACCAAAAGTTTCTGCGCTGCGCACAAGCTTAATCCAAATCGAAAAACTTTTGGCTGTTTTGGGGGGGGGGGGGGGTGGGGGGGGGGTGAGGACATGTCCTCGTCGACCCCCTCAATGCTCCGCCGCTGTTGGCAAGAAACTTCCTGATGGAGTTGAACGTTACTAAGGCTTCAAACGATAGTCTCAGTTTTTTTCATGAACTCACAGGAATTCAGAGAAGGTATTCATCGTGTGACAAGAGTAGGATTCACTTGCTCCTGATCGTGATGAGATCAAAGAAGGAAAAATTGGTGAAACGTTATTCACTCCTCCTAGGTAAGATTCTTCAATTTCAATGCTTCTCTTTCCTCCACTTCTTCCTCCCGCCTTTTGATACAGCCTTTAATTTCCGCACGAGGAAGCTATCTGCTGAAAAAGGCTCTTTCAGTGGGTCCATGCAGGAGTCTCATGCAATACTAACCATCATTGCAAAAAGTTCGCAATGCAAATGCTCACTCCTAGAACTTTCGACTCTTTTCCAAGAACAGAATTAATGGGAATTCAATCGTCTCCCACTTTCTGCACCGATCCGTTCCACAGCAGCTAGTAGTCTTTATTTTGGGATGATCCCCTTTCTTAAACTTAAATGTAAACATAACTCGCAAAATCGGATGAAATCGGGGTGGAGATGCTCAACGAGGCATGAGGGTAAAGAATTTCTTTAAGCCTGAAGACATACGGCTGTTCCGGATTGAAAATGCGATATACTTTCCAAAGACCAATTTTAAAATTCCTTGTTTATAATTATTCTCAAGGATAATATTTGGTACAGAATGTATACCAATACGTGACAGATCCGATGCCAATAATAATTAATCATTGCCGGCTCGGCTTTACGGACGGACGGCGGAATTCTTAATTTCTTTGAATTTATTTTGTGCTTCAATAAAAATATATTTTAAAAGAATGGAAGTCCACCCAAACGTAAAAAAATTCCCCAATGGTTTCAAATCATCCGGGAGGCAATGATATCTTCATAATTTTGAATTGTTCAAAAACTGTTCTGTATTCGATTTGTTTATATTAATTTTTTTTCCATCGAAAAACAATGCAAATATTATTTTTGAAAGCGGTCGGAAAGCGGAAATGGGCGGAACAAGAGTTTATTTCGCTTGCTTCTCAGTGTGACAAGTTTTTTTTTTTCAAACTAGGTGAAAAGGGAAGTATGAAGGAAAAATCGATCTCCGTGTGGCCCGGGTTCTGATATGCAGGAATTTTGGGGGAAATTGGCGATTGGGGATGAAATTTGCGGTCATATACCTAATTAACATTTTCAACGTGTTTCACATTACTGATACATATAATAGGTATCTTCTCTGATTTACAATGACCTTGCGAACAGCTGGGGAATCCCCGCGCGGCCATTCAACGGACTTTCCACGAAGAAAATAGGGAGAAAAAAAAAATTTTCCCCTTCCTTCTATTCTTCCTGGAAAAGAAGCTGAGAACCGCCTGGAGCGCAAACAGATACCTAGCTACAATAACTACGACAAGGGTATTCCCCGTTCCACTCTACTGTATAAATACCCTCGACTGGACCCGATTCCCTTCATTCTCTGCCTGCAATTCGACTGCTCACAGCTGTCTTGATTCTTGTGGAATCGTCTTCAACGCCGCACAAATCTCCAAAATGAAACTCGTGAGTATTTCATTATCGTATCTTAATGAACAGTCGGCATATAAATCCCTCGATAAGAATCTATAATAAAAAGGGCGATTCACTAAGATGACCATTGTCCTTCATTATTAATTCATTGCTGAGCCTGGTAATAGCTGAAAAAGTATTCATTCATCTTCAAGCTATATTTAAATATACTATACTTTGCCCATTTGATAAGAATGCATCATCTCCTCCCCTTACAAGAGGTCGACATTACTTTGTTATTTCATGTGAGAGGATATATGGAGCGTGCATTTCCCCGTGACGAGTTTGAGTTCATTTCTTTTAATGAACAGATGCTGGGACTGTTGGGGCTGGTGTGTCTCATGGCTGTGGCCCTGGGAGCGGGCAACGAGGAAGAAGACCTCTTCGCTGCTGAATCTGCCAATCGAGGATTCGGCTATGGGGGCTATGGAGGCTATGGGGGCTACGGTGGCTATGGAGGCTATGGAGGTAGTTGCTTTGCTTTTCAGATTTTCTTTTTAACCGGATGGTAGTCTCGTGGCTTACTAATACATGCATAGGAACAGTTCCTGAATAATAGGTAGATGATGAGGTTCGGAAAATTAATTTTGTTACTGGTATTTACAGCAGGAACACAATTAATAACTCCTTGTTCTTCATTCACATGAAGGCATTGTTATCCGGAGGAAGAAAACTGTAACCCAACTGAAGAGAGAGAGAAATGAATATGCCTTAGTCCAATTACCAATATTCATGGGTCATTTCATTGACATCCTTAAAATTGAGAGAAGTTGCTTCCCGAAATAATTATGAAAACAAGGGAAATAATTTTATTTAATTTTTCTTTCCTTATTTGGTACACAGGCTACGGAGGAGGATTCGGAGGCTTTGGCCATCACCATCGTCGTCCCCATTATGGTTGAGCAATTTTGCTTAACCTCGTCTCTCATCGCCTTTTCCGTCATCCCTCGGCAATGCAAATTTCCGTCCTAGTCTTTCATACAGCTCGTGCAAAATATATATTAGCCAAAGACTTATGGCTGCAAAAACGATATTTTTAAATTCTGAATAAACTTCTGGAAACATTTCATACTCCTTGCTTATTCATTTGGCGAACGAGACAGCTGCTCAAGAATGGAAGAGATGCCCTGAGATGTCGGGACAATAGATATTCTATTGATTCTGAAAATAACGGTCTCGAAAGTCTGTATGGTCCAAAATCATCGCATGTTACTTGCCAAAGCGTTTCCTTCCGTGCACGCAAGAACCGCCATGCTCTTTTTGTCC